TGTTCAAGCTTGATGATTTGCATCCGGACAAAGACTTCAAAGATGCCGACAGCAATGAAAACTCTGAATCTTTGATCAAACGCTACCTCAAGCCCAATGTGTCCAATGCCAGCAGCATTTCATTGGCCACGAGTGAAGCTGGCGCAAACAAGGCCTGGTCACATTGGGCAATGGATAAATGGACGATGTCAAAGCCAACCCACCCAATGCAATCTACACAGTAGTAGGAAGGAATGAGTCTGGCAAGAAAGCAAGAAGTCAATATGTTTAATTGTTGTGTTACGGTGTTAAGTGTTATGGTGATATTGGTGATATTCAGTCGAGTCATCTTGAGACGCCACCTGTCTTTTTTCATGATGCATATTGTTGCACATTTTGGCAGGCTGATGGTGGACATCCTCCAGAGGCTCCAGAGGAGGCAACTTCGGGGGCCTTGGCTTTGACCCAGCAGGCTCAACTCAAGGGAGTTGCAGCTGCTTTGGATGTGGATGATCGAGTATCTCATGCAATGCAAGAAGAATCTGTTTTGGACATGATGAAAAAGCAGGTAGAGTTGGAAGAATCATCTGCACCAACAGCAGACACAATCAAGGCTGTCGAAGAGGAGATTAAGGACAAGCAAAGAGTCTTTCATTCTGCCACCACTGCGGATGCGGCTGCGGCTGCAAGCAATGCTGATCAGGCTGATCAGGCGGCAGGTGACGGTGCGAGTGTGTTTGAAGCTTGGACGCCGAAGCCAAATCCAGACTCTTGTGAAGAAATAGAGCCCAAACTGGACGATGGCAAGGACACGGGTAGCATAGTTGCTATTGCTGTTCCTACAGCTGCTACAGGGCTTGCTGCTCAGGAACAATCTTGTGAGAAGGGAGTGCCTGAGGAGAACAAAGTCACAGTTGACACGGTCATTGACACGGTTGAAGTTGAAGTTCAAGAGCTTCAGGCTCCTGAAGAAGAGGGCAAAGCAGACAAAGCACATTCAACAGCTGTTGAACCAGCTTCCACAGCCACAGCGGAAAGGAAAGACACTGCCGCTCAGGAACTGCGTGACATTCCTGCTGCAGATCAAGCACCTGACCAAGCTTGTGATGAGGGCCAAGAGAAAGCTTGTGATGCTGATGAGACAATTTCAGAGGCGCTTGGCAACCTTATGCTTCAAGAAGAGCTTAAGTTGGACTCTGAGTTTGAGCCTGAGCCTTCAACACAGCCGGCTGATGCCAGCAGCAAAGCTGATGTCCATGCTGGAGAGCAGTGTGAGGGCAAGCAGTGCTTGCTTGTTCGCAAGCCACGCTCTACGGTACAATCCTTGCAAGAAGCTTTTGACTTCTGGGACAACTGCTTTGACATTCTTTGCGATGGCAAGGAATCCGAGGAGTGCTTTGAGCTTTTAGACAGACTCGAGCATTCCTTGCAAAGCAATTCCTTATCTACTGCATTTTCCGGAGTTAGAGCTCCTGAGACATCTGCAAATGTTTTGAGATTCCGCCTTGGAGAAAGATTGGGAAGAGAGATCAAGAATGACCAGGGGAAATTACAACACATGATCGAGTGGAACAAGCACTGCCAAGAGGAGTGTTTGTTGGCGGCAAAGCTGGAGAACTCCTGCTTGTTTGGCGATATTTGCCAGTTCTATCGAGAGGAACTCCGTCAGACTTTGATTCCTCAATTGCAGCAGAAACCGAACACGGCAATCCAAGCTTTGACCCCATTGATCCTTTCTGGCCGAGCGGTGACAACTGTTGGCCAGTGCCTTCATCATCAGCGCAAGTGTCCACTGCGGACGTGCACACGCCACGTTGCTGGGACGTCATGCAAGCCGTTCAGCAAACGTGGCACGCAGCTGGGAACAAATGACAGTGACATGATCCCAACGCTTGCATGGTTTGCGTTGAGAAGATCGCTCCAAGAGCCAGACATATGTCAGGAGAACGTTCCGGATTTTCCGGTAGGCCTGGCTCAGTCTCTGCTAGGAGACTTATATTGGATCGACGTCATCAAGCTCAACCCTGGAGTCTATGGAACTCCAACTGCAAGGCCTCGCCAATTTATCAGAATGAGACATCGTGTCAAAATCCTGTCCGAGATGTCACCAGTGAGCCGGTTTGCTTTGAGATTTCAGAGGATTACAAATTTCCATTGGTCTGAGTGCCTGGGTTGCCATTGATGATTAGACGCTTTAGACTGTTTAGTTGGTGCTAGTTGCAGAAACTACACTGAGGTATTTGTTCCAATGGGTTATTTAGCAAAATGCATTGTAATTGTTGACTGCCAACGACCTTGGGTGTTGACGGTGTTGAAACGGTGTTGAAGCAAGAAAATCATTGGAAGAGCTAACCCATTGGCCCACTGACCAACTGACTGGTCAACAAGCCTTCAACATATAAGTTATTTGCAAGTTGAAAGTGTCGCACGTCTGAAGGGTTTCCAACGTAACGTCTAACTAACCTATATATCTAGTACCAACTTCAGGTACTACTACCTGCACCACTACACTGGCGACAAGAGCATCGAGACCCCAGTGAAGGATGAGCTGGAGGCTGAACTTTCATGGGCCCAGGGCCGTGTGGGCAGCATGGCCCATGGTCAACCTGAGTTGACACTTGCATCGGAAGAGCCGTTTGCAAAGTCTCTGACTTTTGGAGAAGACCGCTTTCTTGCTTCTTACCGCCATTCCCGACCAGGACAAGCTTGGCAATTGAACCAGAACCCGGACTCTGGTTTCGGATCTTCTAGCAATGACACATCCTTGCCTACAGTCATTGCCAACATGCACATGCTATACACTGACCGTGTGGTTCCTGGCCGTTGGCTGGCAGGAAGTGAGGCTCTATCGACGCAGGGTTTTCCAGTGATGCCTTTCCTGTGGAACATTCGACCTGAGAAGTTTCCTCCTCTGTGTACATTCAACATCCCTAGCTCTACACGTACCTCTCGGCGAATGTTGACGCAAGCGGGCAACTCGATGAATGTCATGGTCATGTCAGTCCTGATGTTGCATGGGTTGCTTGAATGGGAACTCAAGCCAGAGCCATCTTTGCTTGCATGCATCCGTCTCTCAAGGGCTGTTGCGTTGGGTAGCAAGAGGGCGTCCAACTTTGAAGACCGATTGCCCCCCGCAAAGCGACTACGAACAAAGACCAAGGAACACTACACGGTGTGAGCGCTGAGTGGCTGAATGGCCAGAGTGTCTGGCAGAATCAGTGCATGCATGAACAGGGGCAAGGCCAAGGCTTCACTGCACGCTATGAAGATTATAAGTATATATATAATTCTCTACTGCGTTTGTATTTATTTGCTAATTCTTCATTGGTGCTGGTATCGTTTTCAATACTATTCGATGATTTGGGAAACTTTTGGAATCTTGGATGCTGAGATTTGAGTTTGGCATTTGGGTTTGCCTGCGAAGGAATTGTGCTAGGAGCCATGGTCAGTGCTAGGATGCTATCAGTGAAGGAATCATAATTCACGTGTTGCACGGGCGCTCCTCCCGAGTTGCGTGTTTGTCAGAAGATTTAGAAGATTGATTTGACTAGACCTTGGTATGACTTACTTGATGGTTCCTTCATTTCCTTCAATGTTTCCAATCATGAGCAGAGTTTTCTTACACTTTTGCTTCTGTATGTGTTAGGATCTAGTTTTCATCAGGTCAAATGGAACACTGCATCCAGAGATTGAACCACTGCCCACTGCAAACAGACAGTGCGTGGCCACTTCTTACACCAGCAGGAGCAGCACGACCAAAAGAACAACGGTCCGCTTCAAATTGAATTGTTTTCCCACTGAGTCATTGAGTCAGTCCATTTCCTCAGTGAAGTTGAACTTTGAGATTGGCAGCCAGTCGACTTGCGCATGTGATGTGATGTGATGTAATGTATGACATTTGATATGTTCTGCAATAGGGGCCCACACACACACACCTCACGTTCGTGACTTACTCAGGCACTGAATTCGTACTTGGCTGCGGCCTTGGAGGAACAATCGGCATGTCCGTTTGATTGTCTGGCGCTAGTGTAGTATTATACACTAGTTACTAGTTGTGATTGTGCAAAGCATTGCAAGCAAGCGCAGTCTGGTCAATGAAATATGAGACGGCTAAAAACCAAACAGGCATTGGCCATTGGCATTGAGTGTGCAAATTCTTGGTGTTTGGATGCTGGCAGTGATGTCTGTGTTTTCAAGATTGCATTTGCCCGGCCGCTTTGGCTCTCCTTCTTCATTTCTTTTTAGCTTGTTTGCTGTCAAGAGTGATAGACCCCGAGTTGTCGTACCTACCACTGTGACTGTGGCTGTGGATTGCCACAGTGCTTTGACATCTTCATCTTCAAGTTCCAAACCATCAGGGAGGTGCAAGTCATGTCAGCCAAGGCTGAAGCCAAGCCGGTCAAGGCTGGCAAGCTTACAGGGCTTGACCCAAGTTCGAAGCCTGCTGATCTTGACCTTTATGATCCCAAATGCGGCATTGAAGATCTCTTTGGAAGTTTGAGTGGTGCTGCACTGCTTGAGAGGATGCTTCTTTGGTATCAAGTGGACGAGATTCAGTGCATGCCGTGGTTCAGTGAAGACAGCCAAGGCCATTCTCGAACCATCGTGCGGTCGCCCTTCAGTCGAGAGCTGCAGGAGTCAACAATTGCGAGGTACCAGTCCAGGATCTATGATGAGGGATTGAGCCAAGTGGTTTCAGGACTGCTGAGCCAGTGGATTTTCGGGGTGGGGCTGGGCGGGCTGGGCGAATATAAGGTGCTGGACTGGATATATATAGTATAGTCTTTAGTCTTTAGTCTTTGTATGAGACAGCTCTCAAGGGTGTGATGCTTAGTCAGGCAGCTCCACATATTGAAGTTCAATGTTCAAGTTTTCCGTGTTCTTTTCTTTTGTGTGCGTGTGCATTTTAAATAAATCAGTTCAAGTGTCAAAAGCCAACACTATAGTAAACAACACACTCAAGACAAGACTCACAAGGGGCTTTGGCTTCTGCCTGCTCAGAATGTGCGCGAGCATTACTGGAATGGTTGTTGTTGCAGGCTGTTGGCTGATCGGATGTTTCCCTTCCCTTCCAACTAATAACCAATGCAATGCAACCACCGCAACCACCGGACCGCCAACTTAAGCTAACTTATTTGTCATCCCTGACAACAACAAACAGATTCTTCCTGTTGATTCACATTATCATCTTCATTGATGCATGATCCTTGAATCTAACCACGGTTACCCACACGACACTCCACAGATTCTGGCTATAGGAGCAGCATTGACCAAGTGGCGCGGGCCAGATCGCACTTATCCTGTGCTTGCTTTGGGCTTTAATCATCGTGCGGAAAGCTTCTACAGGTGTGTCAGCGACTGCCCCACCAACCAGAACGTCGTTGACACGCTGAATCGAGGTTTGAAGAAAGTTCGAGTCTTGCACTGGAACACGCCAGATTGTGTGCAGCAGAAGGTGGTGACACTACTGAACCAGTTTCACGAAGGATCTTCGGAGAGCCACTATGATATAATGCAGGAGGCCCATGGTTTCTCAATCAGGTGAGTATTTGAATCAATCAACTGCTAGATTATATTGTGTACGCAATACATGTGTACATTGCACACTGCAAAAAAAACACATCGCACCCATGATGGTTTGCACTCGAATTAGACACATTGTATGATATGATGATGGCACACACAGCCCATAGCTTTCTTGTGTTGTGGACCATTTTTCCGATTCGAGATGGATCATTGAATCAATGAATGAATGGATCAACAACAACAACAACAACAACAATAATCAAGGGTTTGGTCCAATGTTGGTCTACCGGTCGCAGGTCACAAATTAAAGAATCATGTGAGGCCGGGTTGATGTTGACGTGGAAGCGACTGTATAACACGCCGTGGACACCACACTCTGTACACGGACCTGTATACCTACAAGTGTTGTGTATATATTATACTACTGTCTAATGACTTAGGCCAACGTGATGCAAGTGACATACCAATCTGGCTACCCCCAGGGCTAAGTCATGTGCCCTGACATATCGAGCTAAAAAAAAGGTCTGGGTTGGGAAACCTGGTGTCATAGGACCTGTGGACACCTCCTCGACAAACAATGTAAAAACACAGCTAAATAATGCTAGATACCACTGCCTGGCACCCTGGTGACACAGTGGTGACATAGGGTGCGACTATGTGTTTTTGCGGGCGCTGTTTCCTTGAATACCTCATACATATTTCTATGAATATCATGGTTGTGGCCTGATGACATAGGCCTTAAGAGGAAATGCCAATGTTGGATCAATCTTGATGACATAGGCTTTTGGAATTGGCGCGTATGTCCGACAAGTCCTAAGTTACTAGTCAGTAGTATATATATTTTTATTGTAGTGGCTAAGTCTGACTCAGTCCACACAATGCCTCGACAGGCCCTTCGGCTGGAGACAGCATGGAAAAGTGAATGCTGCACGACCAAGTTGAACACATATAACCCGAAGTACCAAGCTGCGTACGAAGAGTTCGTTTTGAAGAAGAGTTCAAGCAGTGATTACTCGGGCTTCTTTAAGGCCAAGCAGCCATTCTACAGCGCCATTAGCTTGGCACACAACTTGCAGAATTTGAACATCTACACTCGGTTTGAGGTTTGGTGCAATACATACGTGGACTACTTGGATACCCGATACAATCCTCATACCTGTGTGGCACAAATGCATGCGATCACAGTGATGATTGTGAATGGCCAGAAGAAATTCATCTCCAAGGAGAAAATGGGCTACATTGTTTTCGAAGCTTTGAAAGCCTGTGTTGACAGCTTAGTTTTGCTTAGAATGATTTGACGCAGCGCCTGATAATATGTCATTGCCCCGGACTATACACGAAAGCACACAAAGGCACACACACACAAACAAAAAAGATACAGTAATTTTGATGTAACAAGCAGACTACGGATATAGAAACGTTAGAAACGGAGGCTGCAATATCGAAAGAGGACATATGGACATATGGAAAACGAAGCCTACTGATTCTACTACTTACTACACGTACCACACAGACAGAGATCTGCATGCGCTGTGACTCACTGGCTCACTGTCTAAAAACTCACAGACTGTGATTTCTCAGCCTGCTTGCTTGCTTGCTTGCTTGTTGAATTGGTTTGAGTGATATTTGAGTGAGGTTCCTGTTTCTGCCGCAAACGTGGCCAAGTCTTCCGGGAGAAGTTTGACCTTTGTGTTCAACAGGGGCGGCTCTGAGATCGGCAAGCTGATGAACTTGATCAATCTACCCATGGAGAATAGTGCTGTGGTTCGCAAGATGCTCAAGAAAGACGCTCCTGGCTCTTCCACAAGCACCGCTGTCAGCAAGCCGAAGACGGCAGATGTCACCTTGCAGGTCAAGGCACAGCTGTGTGGAGTCAGTTCCTTGGGCATTCAGTTGAAGCCCGGCGAATTGAAGAAGTTGCATGGTGCCAAAGGTGCTGGCTGTGAGAGCGAGGCTTGATGCTATCAAACAGCCACCACAAGAAATATAGATTGTTATGTAGCTTGGACGACATACTTATATAGACATACTCACAACTCACAAATGACTCACAAAGGTCTGACTGACTGACTGACTGACTGTGATGTAGCAAACAGGATCTTTCGCTGAAATGAACTATATGTGTTTTTCTTACTTCTTGCTTCTGGTCTTCAGTGCGATTCACAAAACAAACAACAAACGACAAACCACCCGACGGCGGCGCCAGGTTGACTGCAACACTGAAGCAGCCACTGGTGAGGGTCAGGTTTCTGGTGGGAAGACAGGCGGTGGCGGTAGCAGCATGGATGCCCAGGCATCTGCATCATGTGAGCAGTCAACAGAGAAAGCCGATGGTGAAAAGCCCAGCGAACCTCCCCCCAAGCGGCAAAAGATTGGAAAGGTGAACCAGAAGAGGAACCAGTTCAAAGGCTATGGGGATCAAGAGAAGGCTTCCTTCCAGGTGACATTACAAACAACGAGCGGTGAGAGCAGAGCATTGACTGCCATTGACGACATGATTCGAGCTTTGGACTATGTCATTGATTGGCTCGTAGCAAGCAAGACCTTGCAAGAAGCTGATGTTACATCAGATCGTGTCATGTCCACCTACGGGTTTTGTGTCAGCCTTTTCCTCGAGTTTGCCTGGACAGGCAAGGTTTGCATTGATGGCAAGGAATTCCGCCAGTACAGCAGCCTCCGCACTGAAATTCAACAAACATTGGTGACAGCGAACGAGCAGCTTGCTGCACCATTTGAATTGGATGGCGGGTCTGGTCAAGCAGAGGCAACGGATGGAAAGGCCTTGAACCCTTTGGAGCTTGCGGCAATGTTGTGCCAGACGTTCTTGAACAAGCCAGTGACTTCGGTGATTTGGGATGTGACTGATGACCCTGAAGAGCAAATCGTGAAGAACATTGCTGAATCAATGCAGAAGGGCTTGGGCCAGGACATCAAAGAGTTTGTCTCTTCGACTTTGCACCTTCCAGTGGTAATGCATGCTGGACCTCGTGATGCTTTGCAGCAGATCTTTTCCTTGCCTTCCAAGGGAACACTCAACTTGATAGACTTGTTGGCAGTGGTCTTCACCTCCATTTGCCAGCACTTTCCACCGGCCTGGTGTGGATTCGGATTTGATGTTGCTACGGCCTATGCCGACCGACACCACTTCGTTGAAGACACGGACAAGGCTTGGCATGCTTGAGTGGTTATAGAAACGTACTGTAATGTAGATGCAAGCTTCAACTGCCATCCAAAACTTGATGAACAAACTTGCAAACCAAACCAGTGGTTTCCTCCAAGTTACTCTATGGTCCCCTATTGGTTGTTCCTCCGTCTTCGTCATTGTCATTGACTTTCTTCGATCGTTGATCGATGCCGTTATGTTATGTTTGATTGGCTGTTGGTTGACACGGCTAGTTTGTAAACAAGTAAGCCAAAACAGTTTTAATGTGCACAGCTGTGTAGGTGTTTGGCACGCTGGAGAATCTACACTCTTTTTGTCAGCCTCCGCCTCAAGTACCTCATTAATATCTTGAGGGAAGTGTTGCCAAAGGTGATCATCAATGATGTGGGCAGCCATGAGATGAAGGACGCTTTGGTGCAGATTGCTAGCTTGTCATTTGAAGGCCCTGAGTTTGAGATCCTCGTCGTTTTCGACTCAATCCAATTCGCGCAAACATGGGCACGTGAATGGGCGGATCTGCTCTTGAAGGCCCGCAATGTGGAGCACTTGGCTAAGCTCGTCCGGGCCATGCCAACTGTTGTGGCAGCAGGGGGTGGTGGGACAGATGCTCCTGAGCAGTCTGAGCTCGGCCAACCCAGCCAAGGATCGCGAAGAGAAGGCCTACTACCAAGCAGCAGACTGACTCCCAAAACATTCAAAGTTGTTGGTGGTGCGGATCCTGACAATGGCTCGGATGCGAAGCCTGCTGCAGGAGCAAAAACCAGCCTGGATGGTGTTGATGGCCATGGTCTTGAACAAGGACATGACAAATGGGGTGGATGTGGTGTGGGCAGTAATTGTTCCGATTGATTGAACGTTCTTTTGATAGATACAGGCAGTGCTGAACTCAACTCTTTTGTATTATATATTAATATATCCATCACCTGAAGTTTCAGCCCGGCATTTGGTTTCGCTGCAATTTAATTGAAGTGTTGAGTTGAGGCTTCAGTTTTGTTTTGGTGCTGTTCATACTACTATGTATTATACAATTATAGTTTTACAGTTCAGTAAAAGAGTCTCACACTTTATTCAAGCCAGGAGTCTCTACTGGGCCCAATGGCAAAGAAGATGTCCAGGGCACGGGTGGTGCGTCAACCGAAATGACACTTCTCGCAGTCAATTCGTTCCGAGACACGGGTTCATTCGAGAGCTTCAAAATGCTTGAGTACTCTGATGACTTCAAGGAGACGCACCCAGAGCCAAACAATGACAACACCACCGAATCCAAGGAATTGAAGGAGGAGGACAATGGGGATGAAGATGGGGCAGTACGTGCTGTTGCTCCCCTGCAGCCCAAGAGGTTGTTGGACCCACTCTTTGTCAAGATCTTGGAGAGAAAAATTGAAATTCTTCAATGGGAGATGTTTGACTACTTTCAGTCGGGCAGTGACAACGTTCGAGTGAACTTGAATAGCAAGAAGGATCAATTCTATGTGAAAGTTCCTATTTGTGGGAAGCTATGCATGCCCTTTGCTGGGAGTATCTCTGCAGCACAGCCCACGAGCACCAACAAGAATCAGAGGTCCTTGTTCTGCACCTTCCTTGGGATGCATTTTTATGTGCAGTCCAAGGCTGTGGATCTTCAGCAGGCCGACCTCTTGATTCCAGCTTGGACGATGAAGACGGTGCCAAAGCAACAGGATTGCTTCTTTGTGCAGGAGCCCGTCGAGTGTTCTTTTGTTGCTTTGGCCACTCCCAATGATGAGCTCATGAACATGTCGCTGCGCTTGGTGACCAAGGAGAATGAGGTCGACATCCGCGCATTATGCAAACAATGCACAGCTTCAGGTGGCCGCGAGTGTTTCCTGAGCCTGATTGAATGCAGATTTTTTACTTGTCCTAGGTGCCAGCGCTTTCTTTCAATGCATGTTTTCTCAAATGACAATTTGTGCTGAGCTGAGTGAAGTTGCTAGGTTGGGGAAAGGCTCGCTTGCAAACGTTGGTGCCAATCTCAAACCTTGACACCAAGCTGGCAGATGATCTTCAGAAAGAGAAGGAGAAAGCTGAGAAGACCGCCAAGAACTTGGTCCAAGCAGCCATGCGCCGAAATCAAGCTCGTGAAACCAAAGAAGTCAAAAGACAAAAGAAAAACCAGGCAAATGCTGAGAATGCCGTGGAGCGATTGCAGCTTGAAGTAGAGATTAAGAAAAATGAATTGAACAAGATCGCTCACGCTGAGCGTGAGGAATCACACGTCCAGGATGCGATTGAGAAGGCCTTGGCTTTGGTCAAACCCCGAACATCTGTTCCATTGACAGTCCTGGCTCCGACCCAACCTTCAGAGAGGAGTGCCCGCGCCAAGGCTATGCAGAGTGCTTTGAAGGCTGCAGAGGAACAACTGGAACGAGCGGAGGCTTGCACAGCTCCGGGGCCGCCGCCAGAGACTCCTGGCCAGGATGCTGCTCTTGGGGTGCAGGCAGTCATGGTGGCTTTGCGCAATGATGGTTCTTTGGTGCGCAAAACGGTTGTGAAGGCCAAGAAAGACGACAAAGCCTTGACAACTTCTGAGATGAGGAAGCTGGGAAAACATTTGCTGAAATGAATCGTGATAGGGTCCACTGTGGTCTGAGGTCGGATCCTTCTCAATTTATAGGTGTTGGTAGTGCTTTGCCTTGTTTCCATTTTGTTGGTTCGTCTTCGACAATGATTCTTGGAATCAAGGATTTGCAGCCCTCAGATCACACACTCGCATCAGGCTTGAGCATTTCGAAGGAGCTAGATTTTGTGTGTTAACACTTGACAGTAAACTGCACTCAGTGTTTCAATCATCACGAATTGACTTTCCATCGCCTTTTCTGAGCTCCATGTCTTGTCAGCGCTGGGGCGCAAGCGTTGTCATGTGGCAACAAACAATTGCCATAGACTGGACCTTCAAATGTAGGCCCTTTTGTCTTTGTCTGAGACATTTTTGATTTTGTAGGCTCCTGCTACTGCTTTGCCTTTACCTCCCTAGCAGAACAGACGCTATGTGGAACACAAATTAAACCTTGCAAGTGTAGGATAGGCTTGACCTAAGTCAAGGTCATCATCAACCAAGAGTAG